ATGGGTTTTGGAACTTAGCAGTGTAGAGGACTTGTACTGGGTCAGGCCCCAGGCCAGAAGCAATAGTCAGAGCCAGTCTGAGTGAGCCTCAAGTTCCAGCTGCTCCAGGTTGTATATCCTGTTTCTTGGCTTACAGCCTCCACATGGGCTGGTTCTTTATCCTACATATCCTACATAGGATTACTCTTCTCCCAGGCCTGGACTTTGTGCTTTGCTGTCCTGGTTAATATGGGACAAGTTTAGCTCATCTAAAGGGGCCTCTTTGCAAACCTGATCCCCTCCTCCCCTCCTTCTGCTTCCAAAGGGCTGCTCATAAACCTCACAGAAGGTCTTAGAAAGCTGCCAGCATCCTTCCATATGTTTTTTTTTTTTTAAGAGTTTTTTTTTTTTTTGGAGAGAGAGAATTTTTAATATTTATTTTTTAGTTCTCGGCGGACACAACATCTTTGTTGGTATGTGGTGCTGAGGATCGAACCCGGGCCGCACGCATGCCAGGCGAGCGCGCTACCGCTTGAGCCACATCCCCAGCCCATCCTTCCATATGTTGACCCTCCCTTTCTGAACAGGTGCCTCATGGTCTGGCTTCCATTAAGTGGGATGGTCAGAAGAGTAGGTTCAGTGGCTCCTTGGCTCCTGTGGTGTGGGCTGTACCCCTTGAAGCCCAGCACAGGGCTGGAGTCCTCCACACTCAACTCTTGTTTGGGGGCTTTATACTGTAATATGTGCCCTCTAGATCTCAGTTCTTAGTAGAATTCTTGGTAGCCTCTGACTCATTCAAATGGTGGGAGGTGGTTAGAAGGACATAGGACAGCCCAAAAAATTGAGGGGGAAATGGCTTGATCGGTCAGTAAGGGTGCCTCCAAGGGTCATAAGTAAGGTCTGAATTGTCCATATTCTGTGCCTGCTGTGTGCCCATTAGCCCAGGTGTTGGGGAGGGTGACAGACAGATAAGGCAGTGCTTATGTGTTGTTAGTGGGAGATTGTTATGCTAAATAGTTAATGTCATGTAGTGATAAGCACAGCGCAGAGATGGGCAAACAGAAATCAAATTGCTGGAACAAAAACTGGTGTCCTGAAGCTGCACCATCTTCCCTGTGTGCTTTCCTGAGCCAAATATACTGAGGCCTCTACTTGCTTTTAGGGAGCAGAGCTTGTACTGGCTTGCAATCCAGCAGCTTCCCACGGATCCTATAGAAGAACAGTTCCCTGTCCTGAATGTGACCCGGTACTACAATGCCAATGGGGATGTGGTAGAAGAAGAGGAGAACTCCTGTACCTACTATGAGTGTCATTACCCTCCCTGCACAGTGATTGAGAAGCAGGTACAGTGTGTAGCAATGAGGCCTTGGTTCCTGGCCACCTCACCCGCAGTTTGGTTATGGCATGGACCCAGTAGACCCTGGGTACTTCCCTAGCTTTCCACCAGGGTGGTTCTCCCTTTACTCTTGTATCTGCCTAAGCAGGCCCAGGCCTTACAACTCTGATGCTTGTTTTTTCTGTTGGGTGGTTGGTTTGTGGTGCTGGGGCTGGAACCCAGAGCATTGCACATGCTAGGCAATTGCTCTGTGGTGGAGCTATATACCAGCCTGGCGAATGGGGTTTTGCCCAGTCTTTTCAGGTTCTGCCCCACACTGCTTCCCAGAAATGATGGTGAAGCCACATGTTCTGTTTCAGCTCCGGGAGTTCAACATCTGTGGGCGCTGCCAGGTGGCCCGGTACTGTGGCTCCCAATGCCAGCAGAAGGACTGGCCTGCCCACAAGAAGCACTGTCGGGAGAGGAAGCGTCCCTTCCAGCACGAGCTTGAGCCGGAGCGATGACTGGCAGCAGAGCTGCCACTGACGCGGGCCTGTGGCTTCGGGCTCTTCCGTGGGCACAGCAGAGACAGACAGGCGCTTGAACCTGGAGGTGCCGAAGAATCCAGTGGCAAGCCCAGAACAGCCACCATGAGTCTCCCCATGACACATGCTGTCTGTGGGGACAGTGCTCCTCCAGTGTTAAATGTCCAGCAGAGACAACGGGGAGGCTCCCCAGGACCCTTCTCATTATTTATATGTTAATATGTTTGTAAACTCATGTACAGTTTTTTTGGGGGGGGGAGGCAAGGGGAGGGTTACAAACTACAAATAGGATCATTTGCTGTAAGCCTCAAATGGCAAATGGTCGGCCACAAGTCTAGAAACTCAATAGTGGAGCTTCTCTCCTGGGCAGTGGGGTCCCCACTGAGGGTGGCCTGCACGAAGTTGTGTCCAAAAGGACAGAGTAAAGGGTGGAATCATCTTCTGTCTCGGCTGTTCTCTGCTCCTTATTCCATCTGTTGAGGGCCAGGCGTATTTTTGAGTGGAATCAGCCAAGTGTTGTGGAATGACAGGACCTGCTGTGCTCTTCGTTGGCCTTTGAGGAGCAGAGCATATCAAGCCTCTCTGGAGTCTGGCCGGGAGTGCAGTGAGACTTGGTCAGTAGGATCAGCGGGGGTGGTCTAAGAGGCCAGCCACCATTTCAGTAGCTGTGGGATACATTAGATAGGAATTGGCCCTAGATTCTACCTTGCTTGAAGTGGGAGTTTCTTCCCAGAATGATGCGCACAGCTTGCCTAGCATGAAGTGAATGACACTTCTCCACCCATTGGCCCCCGGGACAGCCATCCTTCTCCCTTTGGGGGCTGCAGATGTCAGTGCTGTCCAGTGTGTTATCCATTTAGAGCCCCTCTGTTACTGGGATTTTGCCTTTCTTTGGGTCTAGTCAGCTGTCTTGCCCCCAGGCTCTTCCCATCCAACTGGGCATCATGTCCCTGGGCCCTGTGTTGGTCTGTAGGCTCTGCTAAAATGTCTCTTGTAGCATTTCTGCCATGTTCTAAGATGCCCTGTGTTCTCATGCTTGTTCCTGGCAGATCATAGCCCTTTGGTGGCCTTTGGTTTGTGAGAAAGCTCCTGTGTCTGCCACTGACCCCCTTTATTTTAACTTTATGTGGTGCTGAGGATCAAACCCAGTGCCTCACGTGTGCTACGCAAGCGCTGTACGACTGAGCCACAATTCTGTGGCTTTTTTTTTTTTTTTAATTTTTTTTTATTGTACCTCCTGGAGGAGGAAGGACAAAGGAAAAGGTGATATTGAGCTGGGCATGGTGGTGTACACCTGTAATCCCAGTGACTTGGGAGGCTGAGGCAGGAGGAATGTAAGTTCAAGGCCAATCTCAGCAATTTAGTGAGGCCTTAAACTTAGTAAAATCCTGTCTGAAAATAAAAAAATAAAACAAAGGTCTGGGGATGTAGTTAAGTGCCTCTGGGTTCAGTCCCCATTACCAAAAAAAAAATGGTATTGCAAATTCCTGAATGGCTTTCTGGACCATGAGAACTCCCATACATCCACAGGGGTTCTGCACCACAGATTCCCAATCCCTGTCCCTGACCTTTGCTGGGTAGTAGAGATCCCTGCTCAGACTATAAGTGGAACAGTAATGGGGGCTCAGAAAGCTGTTGGGGAGGGGAGCTATGTGTGTGCTGAGAGTGAACAGCAGCTGGCTGGAATCCTTGAGTGTCCCAGCGCTGGAGTAACCTTGCTTCCAATGTGTTGCCAGGACTGTTTGGGTGGAGGGATCCTGTATGGCTTGGCATGTTGTGTCTTGGGTGTTCTTCAGGCATGGGGCTTTGTATTCCCCCAGGCAATCTGCTGTCAAAGGCTCAGAGAAGACAGTTGGCAAGCCTTGGTCAGCTTGTGTCCTTAGGGAAGTGGCCATGTTGGAACTTGAACCTGTCTGTGCCCTCTGACCAGCCAAGCTGCCTTGCTCTGCAGTTAGCTTTTTTATCCCCAAATTAAACTCGAAGTGCTCAGATTCTCAAAACCAATCTGTAAGGGCTGTACTGACAAAGGGATGTATGTAGTTTTGGGGCTTGCCTGGGAGTGCCTACCCTTCCCCTCATGCCCACTGGCACAGGTTTTGCTATGTAGGTGAGATGGGCCCATTTTCACTCCTTTGTGCTTCCCTGTGATCCTGACTTTTTGAAAATTTTTTAGTTTTCAGTGGACCTTTATATTTTATTTATATGTGGTGCTAAGAATCGAATCCAGTGCCTCACGTGCTAGGCAAATGCTCTACTACTGAGACATAACCCCAGTCCCTGATCCTGACTTCTTGGTCCTTGTAACCATGTATCTGGGCTGTTCTAGGAGAAATTCAGGTGGTTCAGGTATGGGGCTTATTCCTACCTTCTCAGTGGTATGTTGGACTGCTATCTGGGAACTGTTCCTCAGAGTTGATGCCCAGATATTATGTGAATTTGTCTCCGTGTGTCTGCCTGGAGCTCCCATAACGGACTACTGTGAACCAAATGGACTAAAACAACAAGATATTGTTTCAGGGTTCTGGAATCCAGAAGTTGAATAAGTAGCTGCCAGCACCACACTCCTTCAAGGGTGCTAGGGAAAGATGTGTTTCACTTGCCTCTCCTAGCACCAGTAGTCTCCTGGTCTGGTAGATGCCTAGTTCCAATGACAGTCTTCAAATGACACCCTCCCCCCCCCGGGGGGAGGGTGTCCTGGCCTGGTCTTCCTCTGCAATGCGTGTCCACGTTTTCTTTTCCATAAACACCTGTTATACTGCATCAGGGCCCACCCTAAGGACCTCATTTTAACTTGATCTTTGTAAAGATCCTATTTCCAAAGGCCACATTCCGAGCCTCACGTGTCTCTGGGCAGGATGCTTACAACCCAATGTCCCCGACTTGCCTTCCTGAGTCTTTGGGTTCAGGGATTTTCTTGAGCAGCTTCAGCAGCTACTCAGCCTCCCGCTAAGGGTCACATTACTCCCCTTACCAAACTGCTGCCTCCCTGCGCTGTTCAGCGCCAGGCTACCCCTCCCGCCCGCCGAGGGGCGGCATCGCCCAGCCCAACGTGAGGCGCGCCCTGCACCGGGTTCTCGCCGCGGTCCGCCTGCCTACAGGGGGCGCAGCACCCCGGTGGCTTCAGGCGGCCGGAAGTACTGCCCCGGAAGGAGTTGGCAGAGGCTGCGCCTGAGCGAGTGTGCTTGCGTCCTCGCCTCATGGGTCTCGCATCTTTCGGGGCTAGATGGCGGGCCGCTGTGCGCGGGTGCTTCAGGCCGTGGACACCGAGTTCACCGCGGACAGCGTGGAGTGGTGCCCGCTGGAGGGCTGCCGACACTTGCTAGCCTGTGGCACCTACCAGCTGCGCAGGCCGGATGCCGCGTCCGGGTCCAAGGTGTGCGGGGCGGGAGGCGGCCACTAGCCTCCAGAAAACCACTCAGATTCGTGAGTGGCACGGCCCAGGCACACTGTTGGAATCTGCAGTAAAGATAAGAGTACCTGTTAGGATGAAGCCTGCCCCCTGGAAGGGATCTCTGAGAACGGAATTGGGTGCTGAAAAGTGAGGGCGGACCAGGTCAGGACTCCCAGCGCAGTTAACCTAGCCATGCTGGGTACTGTTGGCCCATATAGGAACTGTCTGTGCTGGGTGGGGAGAGTTCACCTACTTATTGATCACATGCCAGAAGAGACACTTGACCCACTCAGGAAATTAAGGACTCTGCTTCCAGGCAGAGGGCCGCTTTGCCAGTCTTGGTCTACCTTTCATAGTGGATCCGGTTTCCCAAATCTTGTGTTCTTGACATCTGTTGGGGGTAATCAGAGAATGTGCATATTTTGTAGGGTGGACTGGAGGTTGAGGAGCCTCACGTCCGTTTAGGTCGTCTCTACCTGTACAGTTTCAATGAGGACAACTCTACTTCCTCTCTGGCTGAGGTCCAAAGAAGAGATACTGCTGCAATCCTGGACATGAAATGGTATGACTTTGATAGCAACCCCACCTGGTCTGGAATTGGTCCTGAGCCTCTGCTCACCTAATCATGGAGTCCCATGCTTTGGCATCTTCATCAAGTAGCTGCTTCTGTGTTGTTCCACCTGCCAATGGGCATGTGGCAGGCACTTTTCTTGGGCTATCTCCCTGTCAGTTTCCCATTCCCAGAGTCAGAATCAGCCTAGTAAGCAATGAGAATTGTGATTTTATGAGCTGGGAAACTTTTTGTATGGGAGCATTTGAAATTTAAATAATAAATTACTGGAAAGCACAATGTCCCCCTCTTCTGGTGTGTGTCCTGTGTTCTCATGTGTGAGTTCTCTCCAGGTGCCACATCCCAGTGGCCGGCTCAGCGCTCTTGGGCTTGGCAGATGCCAGTGGATCTATACAGTTGCTCCGCCTGGGGGTATCTGAGGTCAGTGACAGGCCAGGCTTTGTGGGGGGAGGAGACTGGAGGGGGTGGGGAGGGGGCTGTGCCTGTGCAGATGCTTTCTTAGAATGGTTCCTTTAATGCTGGACTGTGTCATCAGTGTTGTAAGAAGCCATGGGGTCACTTTTAAATTGGACAGGGGTCTGGTGAGAGGAGGTTATTACCTTAGTGGCTCAGCAAAAGGGCTGAAGTGACAGGTTGTTCACACACAGTAGATCTGAGGGTTCTGTAAGGAAAGCTGGGCAAGCATGCCTTGGGTTGATACTGGGACTAAGAATAATGGTGACTTTCCCATGTAAAAACATTTGGGAGAGTGTGTGAGCCCCACATGAGGTTTTCTAAGTGGTTTACGGTGATCCAGTGCCATGGTTTGCAAAATGATTTAATGATTGTTGTAGGAAGAGGGAGACTGTAGATGTCATGTGGAATGACACCAACAGTCCACAGCCTACACTCTCTGCCTATGGGAGGAAGGAATATACCCCCTTACAGGTGCTGCAGTGGGACCAGAGCAGAAGCCCAGCTGGCGTTGATTTGTGATAACTCAGGGCCTTGTTTCTGACCTGCTCAGCAGGAGCCTGGTCCTAGAAATGAGGGGAAGAATGTCTGAGGAAGACTGGGCCCAGGGACCATGTTCCAGGCGGGAGCACATACACCCAAGACAGGACTGTAGTGCAGTAGCCTGCTAAGGGCTTCCTGAAGGGGCTGTTTAGATACTCGCACTCACACAGCCACACATGATGGCACATTCCTACAGTCCCAGGTACATGGGAACCTGAGGTGGGAAGATTGCTTGCATTCAGGGATTTGAGAACAGTTTGTATAACCTAGCAAGGGCCTTTCTCAAAAAAAGAAACTTGCATAAATCTTAGACAAGAGAACTAACATTTTTAATTAAATTTGGTACTGGGAATTGAACCGAGGGGCACTTAAACACTGATTCACATCTCCAGACCTTTTTAATTTTCATTTAGAGACAGGGTCTCACTAAGTTGCTTAGGGCCTTGCTAAGATGCTGAGGCTGGCTTTGAACTTGTGATTTTCCTGCCTCAGCCTCCTGAGTTGCTGGGATGGCAGGTGTGTGCCACTATATCTAGTGAGAAGTAGCATTTTAATGGCTGTTATGTCTTCTGAAATGAAAAGCAGAGGAAAGCTCTTATTGTCCCTGCCTCTTGGGACAGAATTGCCAGGACCTTAGGAGGCCTGGGATGGTGCAGAGCATGTGTCAGGCATGGTTCTTGAGCATGGAGACAGCAGATGTGCCTGAGTGTCCAGGTGGCTAAGAGACCATGCCCCAGGTCAAGAGTGTGGAGACATCTCAAGGTGTGAGCTCCAGCATCCTCAGTCCCTTCCTGTGCCTGGCTCGTAGCAGGTGTTCCAGTCTTGTGTGACTGTGTACCAGTAGCTGATGGCTGTGTTTCCATGGGAGGGGGCAAGGGAGCATGTTTGCCTGGACAGGAGAGTTCCTTTCTTTCCAGTAGAAGAGCAGCAGCCTGTTGCAGCCAGTGTCCAGTGTCATCCTGGAGGAGCAGTGCCTGGCGTTGTCCCTGGATTGGTCCACTGGGAAATCCGGAAGGTAAGTGCCAGGAGGGCCTCAAGTCATTCCTCTGATAATTGAATTTCCTATTTTCAGGCCAGAGAGAGTTTTGAGCCTTGATTCCCTGTATTTGGGAACATCACTAACAATCCTAATTTAAAAAAAAAAAAAAAAATCATTGCATCTTAGATAAATGGCAATAAAGTTTTCCTCAGAGAATGCAACACTGGTTTCTGTGATTACCCAATGGCAGATACCCAAGCAAGCCTTGAGGTGTGTCCATATGCCAGAGCTTTGGAGAACCTTACCTGGGACTTGGTTGTGAACCAGAAGAGGGTGGTGAGTGTGCTCACTGGGCTTCTCCATCGGTTCTACATGTTTAGGGCCAGTGACCAGCCCTTGAAAATCATCAGCAGCAACTCCAAGGGGCAGCTGCACTTCCTGAAGGTGAATGAATCGGGGCCTGGGCTACAGCACGTCGCCTCCTGGCAGGCCCATCACTTTGAGGCCTGGATCGCTGCTTTCAATTACTGGCAGACAGAAGTGGTATATTCAGGTCAGTGTTTCTGCACAGGGTCTTTTTTTTTTTTTTTAATATTTTTAATATTTATTTTTTAATTCTCGGCGGACACAACATCTTTGTTTGTATGTGGTGCTGAGGATCGAACCCGGGCCGCACGCATGCCAGGCGAGCGCGCTACCGCTTGAGCCACATCCCCAGCCCCTCTGCACAGGGTCTTGACCCACTTGCTTCTGACAGGAGACTTGGGAGGGAGGGGATGAGGCTTGGCCCAGGGCCAAAGTGCTAGGTGTGCTGGGCTCCTGAGGGCATTGTGTGGAGAGTGTCTTCTGGGACAGCAGCTGGCACTGGTGCCACTTCCTGTTCCTTAGCAGGCTTCAGGCATCACAAGTCTTGGGTGGAGCAGGTACCTGTAGAGCTGTCCTGCCTCCATGGCACTCAGTACCAAATCCTCTCTGAGTCCCATTTCTTGCTTGATATCTGTTGACTTTGTCGTGTTGGGTTTCAGGTCTCTCCTTTCTGGGTATAGCTCACCTTCCAAAAGAAAAGGAAATATGAGAGAAATAGGGTGACTTCTTTGTCTTTTTGAGTGATTTGTACTTTGGGATGCTGATGTGGGAATGACAAATTAACAGAACTCGGCATTTGGGTAGCTTCTCCTAAGGGGTAATTCGAGGGAGGGTGGAAGAGTTGGGCTCTGAAGAACAGAACAAAGTACACAAGAAAAGACCTGCTCTGGTTTCCGAGAAGACCTGCTCTGGTTTCCGAGCTCCACCTGGCTGGTGGCAGTTGCTGCAGTCCTGGTGCAGTGCAGTGCAGGGCAGTTCTTTTAGGCTGTGAGAAACTGCACAGCCTCCTCCACTAACTCTCTGGCCCAGGTCTTTACTGGTCCGTAGCTCTCAGCCTAGTGCTCCCAGCCTCGCTGGGCAGTCTCCCTGCACATTTGCCATGCCTCACCCTCTGCTGTGCACCTCTCTGGTGTCTCTGGGATAGCCCTCCTTTCTGCTTTGCTCCTCTTCTTCGGCACAGAAGGGTTGGTTTCATCTGGCATCTGTCTGGATCCTTATCTCACTCTCTGTCTTTGCTTTCCTTGCCTCAATTACTGTTTTCTCAGAAGCAACCACATTTTTATTGCTTTTTATTCTGAGCTCAATCCATTTTTCTTGCTGGCAGGCAAGATGTTTCTGCTACCTAGAACTGAGCTCATTACATCCGACCTCTCCTCCCTAGCATCTGTTGAGGGGGATGGTCTTTGGGTTCTGATCTGAAACCAGTAAGCCATTACCAACTCCTGTGTTCCTCACAGGAACACAGAGTCCCAGTCCTAACTAGTTTTATCTTTCTTATTTTTGGTTGCAGATGGACACAATATCTTTATTTTATTTATTTTTATGTGGTGCTGAGGGTCCAACCCAGGGCCTCACACATGCCATGCAAGCAAGTATGCTACCACTGAGCCACAACTCCAGCTGTGATTTTATCTTTTGAGCATCCCTTGGAATTGGCCACCTTTTGCTCTTTTCCTGGCAGAACTGTGCAGGCTGTGGTCTCATCTAGCTGTCTGCAGCAGAGCACAAGTGATGGCCTAACATCCATTCTGTCCCTTCATAGGTCAAAATCATAAAAAACATAAAGAGCTTATCACATCTTACAAATCGTCCCCTTTGCAGTTCCCATTTCTTTTAGGATAAAATCCAAAATACTTAATCAAAATACTTAATCTAATCAGTTTTCCCAAGACCTTGTGTTATCTGGCTGGTACTTACCTCTCTTCTCTATTCTGAATGAGGTATCTGTGTTCTTCATCATCTCTCCTGAAATGTTCCATTTTCTCTCTGGGTCTTGACGTTTCTTCCAGAGATTGCTTCCACTTTTCTGGCATGCTTAGCTTAAAGTCTTTGAAGAAGCCCGTGTAGGACACCCAGCCTCACCAACCAGGTCAGGCCTGGTCCTGCACTGCTGTTGTCATGGTACCCTTTGCTCATCCCACTTAGGATTGATATGCTTCGTGTTCAGTTTTCCTGAGGGAGAGTCCTTATCTGTGTTATATGTATCACATCCTTGAACAGTTCTGAGACCAAAATTCTTTTTTTTTTTTTAGTTCTCTCCATCTTGGATTAGTTCCTCTGCCTTGGGGCTTAGCTAATTCAGAGTATGTGGTGTGGGAGGGGACAATGACCTAATATTTCAGGACTAATTCAATCATTCAACCAATATACTTTTTTATGTTTATTTTTTAGTTATAGATGACACAATATTTTTATTTTTATGTGGTGCTGAGGATTAAACTCGCATGCTAGGCGAGTGCTCTACCTCTGAGCCACAACCCCAACCCCATCATTCAACCAATATTTACTGAGCACTTAAGATGTGCGAGGCTCTGTACTGGATGATAGGGTCATCAGTGAACAAAACAGACCGAAGTCCCTGCTTTCACTGTGCTTCTGTTGAGTGGGAAAGATGGAAGATACAAAGTACGATGTATAATAAATGAGGAAATTGCACAGCACATCAGAGGCAGCAGTGCTTCTGCCTCAGTGGTAGCCTGAAACCATGCAGGACAGTCACCAAGGCTTCACAGATTCCTCCCTGAGAAGTGGCCATCCCCATCACCAGGTCCTCTGCTGATGTATTGCTTTTGTCCACACAGGAGGGGATGATGGCCTTCTCAAAGGCTGGGACACCAGGATGCCTGCTGTGTCCATCCTCACCAGCAATAGGTAATTGGCCAGGAGGCAACTCACATGCATTCCCTCCCCAACCATTGCCCATGGGCCTTCCTTGCCCCCACCATCCCTTCCTCAGGGGCACTCTTTCCCTGCAGACACTCCATGGGTGTGTGTAGCATCCAGAGCAGTCCCCATCGGGAGCACATCCTGGCCACAGGAAGGTGAGTGCAAGTGAGGTCATGGGGGCCTTGCATTTCCCACCTTTCCACCTGGGTATTGTGGCCGCAGTCCACCGACCCTCAAGCCACAGTGCAAGGTTGGGTCAGGGGCCTTTGTCCTCCAGGGATGAGTGGGGTGGGTCTCCTGGGAGGTGTTTCCTGCTGCTGCCCTCTTCCCTTGGAGAAGTGAGGCCACTGGTTGCCTGGTTCTAGCTATGATGAGCACGTGTTGCTGTGGGACACACGGAGCATGAAGCAGCCGTGGGCAGACGTGCCTGTGCAGGGTGGCGTGTGGAGGCTCAAGTGGCACCCGTTCCACCACCACCTGCTCTTGGTGGCCTGCATGCACAGTGGCTTCAGGATCCTGAGTTGCCAGAAGACCACAGGTGAGTGGGGACCTGCCAGTCTCCTCCCCAACCTCTGCATGATCCCAGACTACACCAGCTCTTACTGCTGCCCCTCACTGCCAATGCAGGACTGCAGGTTCAGAAGAGCCTGTGCAGGTTCAGCACCTGGTTCCTCTGACCCCACCAGGACCGTGCCCAGGAGGTTTATTGTCTGACACCCTCACGTCTATATGGCCCACCTCCTCCGTTTTTCCTTCTGGTGAACAGCTTGACCCTGTTATCCCAGTCCCATATGTGCTGATAACTCTTTCCCTTTCTCACAACACCTCTGCCTGGCCTCTTTGTTCTCGTGCCCTTCTCCTCAAGCCCCAGGGCCCCTTTCCCCTCCTCACTCAGCTGTGACCTCCCCTACCTCCCCTCCCTGCCCAAAAGCAGGGCTTCTGCCCCAGAAGGAGCAGGCAGACCATCCTGGCCTGTGCCACTTGGCCATCGTCCCTAGGATGCTACCCTGTACCCCTGCCTCCTCCATTTACTCCCAGGCAGGCTCGTAGCCTGCATAGCCATACTCAAGACCTGGCTCTGTAGCTTGCCCTTCTCCCCCGCAGCTCCTCTTCCTGTCTTTCCTCACTGTTTCTGTTGTGCCCTGAGGCTTAAGGTCATCTTAGTGATGGGGGCACCCACAGTGCCACTTGTCCTCCTGAGCCTGTTCTTGCCCATCTGTACATTTTGGTTTGTTGAACCTTTCCTTATACTGCTTTGCAGGTACTTCCTCATTTCCCTGATTCTTCTTCTTTTTTTTTTTAATACCGGGGATTGAACTCAGGGGGCACTCAACCACTGAGCCACGTCCCCAGCCCTGTTTTGTATTTTATTTAGAAACAGTGTTTCACTGAGTTGCTTAGGGCCTCGCTTTTGCCTCAGCTTCCCAAGCCCCTGGGATTATGGGAGTATGCCACCGTGCCTGTTCTCCCTGATTCCTTTTGACCATTAAGTCGTTTCAGTAGCCTGTTAAACATTTCTGTGAGGTGTCCCTATGTTCTTACTGAAGAAAGCGTTGTGGATTTTCTTTTAATTTATGGGTTGTCCTGGGGAGTGGTCAGTGTACTTCAGCAGAGTGTGTCTGCTATTTCTGTCGATTTTTGCTTCATGTGTTTTGGGGCTTTGTTTATATGTGTTATGATTGTGGGTGTCTCACTAGGGATTAAACTTGGCTTCACGCTAGCAAAGCACTGTACCACTGAGCCACATCCCCATCCCTAGCTCTTTTTTTTTTTTTTTTTTTTTTTTTGAGACAGGGTCTCGCTGAATTGCTGGGGCTGACTTTGAACTCGCAATCCTCCTGCCTTAGCTTCCCAAGTTTCTAGGATTATAGGTGCGTGCCACCGCGTCTGGTCTGAGGCTTTGTTTTAGGTTATGTATGTTTATAATTCTCGTATCTTCCTCATGTGCTGACCCTTCTAGCATTACAGTGTCCTATATGTCTGGTAACTTTTTTGATACTAGGGCTTGAACCCAGAGGTGCTTTATCACTTGAGCCCAGATCTTTTTGAAACTTAATTTAATTTATTATTATTTGATATTATTTTATTTTTTGGTTCTGGGGATTGAACCAAGAGTTCCTTAACCACTGAGCCACATCTGTAGCTCTTTTTTATGTTTTTAATTTGAGACAGGGCTTTTCTAAGTTGCTGAGGCTGGTCTTGAATCTGTAATCCTCTTGCCTCTGTCTCTCACTGGGATGACAGGTGTGTGCTACCACACCCAGTTTTTATTTTGAGACAGGGCCTTGGTAAGTTGCTCAGGCTTGCCTTGAATTTGTGATCCTTTTGCCTCAGCATCCCAAGCTGCTGGGATTAGAGGTTAAAGGATGTTTTATTTATCTTCATTTTATTATTTTTCTTTCAAGTGCATAAACACATTAGCAATGTTCTAGAAGTTAAAACTAGACAAAAAAAAGTATGCTCCAGAGAGTCTCTTTTCCTCTTCTTTCCCTTTTCCTTTTTCTATTCACTTCTTATAGGTAAGCAGTGTTATTAGTTTATGGTTATAATTGTGTCTTTTTGCAAAAATAAGCATTTTTTTTCTTATTTTTCCACTCTTATAATATGGAACATAGCATTTTATGTATGCTTTTGTGTGTGTTGGGGGTGGTCCTGGGATTGAACCAAGGGCCTCACACATGCTAGGGAGGTACTCTACCACTGAGCTGCACCCCCAGCACTTTTTGTTTTATTTGAAGATAGGATCTCACTGTTGTCCAGGCTGACCTGCTTGTGATCTTCCTGCCTGAGGCTCCTGAGTAGCTGGGATCATAGGCGTGGCCAATGCACCCTCCTACACCACCTTTGTTCTTTACTTACTTCTTTTTTTTTTTGAGAATTTTATTTATTTTTTAGTTCTCGGCGGACACAACATCTTTGTTGGTATGTGGTGCTGAGGATTGAACCCGGGTCGCACGCATGCCAGGCGAGCGCGCTACCGCTTGAGCCACATCCCCAGCCCTTTACTTACTTCTTTTAAAAATGTCATCAAGCAGGGGGCTGGGGCTTTGGCTCACTGCTTATTTCTCGTGACCTGCTGGCTCTGCTCTTCTCTGTTGTTGGCATGTGTGAGGCACCACATAAAAATAAAATAAAGGTATTTTGTCCATCTATAAGTAAAAATATATAGAAGAATAAAAGATAGGTGCATTGGCAGTGTCTATCTAGTCCCAGCACTCAGGAGACTGAGACCAGCCTGGGGGCCCGGGGGTGTGGCTCAGTGATAGAGGCCTGCCTTGTGTTTGAGGCCCAGGCTCCATCCCACTCAGCGGAACACACTTTAGGTCTTGGTGCCCTCCACATGGCCCCTGGTGCACTGCACATGGCCTTCCAACTCTGAGTGGGCTCAGGTTGCTCCAGCACCTCACAGGGCACTCATCTTCTAGTGCACCTCCTCTTGCTCAAGCTGTTTCATGGGAGAAGGGTTTTAGGATTGCCCCCAGAGGGAGATGGCAGAGTCAGAGGTTGGATACAAGCTGGGTTTTACCAGGCACTGCCATCTTGCAGACAGCCAACTTTGGGACCTTTATCATCTGACGGTGAGAAATGTCATCTCAGTAGTTCAAAATTTCATGTCTCCAATTGCAAGTGAAATTATGCATTTTTCTTATGTTGAAGGACTGGTTTTGTAATTTTGGTCCTTGAATTATCTTTGTATGTGTTTTGTTTCCTTTTCTCTCTGGTTTCTAATCTTTTTACCTCTCAGTTTTAGAGTTTTTCTTTTTTTCAACCTACTGGGGATTTTAGCTCTAACTGTGGAATGGGTTAGAAATTTGTCTCTGTTCTTGATTTTGCCATTGAGGTATTTTTTTCTTCATGTAAAAGATTTTTTTTTTAAAACAAAATCTAATCATACTTAACAATTTTGGGAGTTTGCTTTTCTTTTTCTTTTTTTGGGGGGTGGGGAGGGTGCCAGGGATTGAACCTAGGGGTGCTTAACCACTGAGTACATCCCAGCCCTTTTTAATTTTGAGGCAAGGTGTCTCCTAAATTGCTTAGGGCCTCACTGAGTTGCTGAGGCTGGCCTTACACTTGAGGTCTTCCAGGTTCAGCATGTCCTGGATCGGGTCTCAGCCACCATCAGGGCTCAGCCCAGTCTTTGGCTCCCTGCCGAGGGCTCTGCCTCACTTCACTGGAGGTGTGTTTCTTCCAGGTGGCATGGAGCTGGCCTTGCTGTGAGTACAGTGTGGTGCTTGTCTGCATGGGTGGCTGGCTGTGCACACTAGCAGCTAGGCTGCTCTGATACCCACTCTTCACCTCTCAAGTCGCTGCCACTTTGGGTGTCATTGGCATACTCACTGCTTGTTTCTAGTGACCTGCTGGCTCTGCTCTTCTCTGTTGTTCTCAGTGTTTAGGGGAGTTGTGCTCTTGTGGTGCTGTCTTCATGCTGATGTTCTAATGAGCTCTGAATGCCTCTGGATCCTTTTCCAAACAGGCTGGCCACGTTACACGAGTTGGTCCTCCTTCCTGCCACCCACAAAACAGCACTGAGTTTATTCTGCCTCCCACTGCTCTTCCCATTCTTAGTGGCTTTTTTCCCCTATTCAACACACTTTTACATCATCATATAAAGATGCATATTTTTTGCAGTGCTGGGGATCCCAGGACCTGGCATGTGTGCTCTAGTGTTTTTCCTTCTTTGCCTCACCTACTTTTTCTCCATCTCAGTTCATGGTGGAGGACTCTTAGTGCTTGCCCTGATAAGGGCTGGCAGCTTGTGGTCTTTGTGGGCAGAGTTAGTTTGGGTAGCCTTTTCAGAAAGGCTTGGGGTGGTGCTCCTGGAATCCTGGAAGGCTCTTTGCTTCTTTGTGTAGCCTTGATTCTTGAAGGGAAGACTGCTGGTAAGATTTTGACTCACTTTCTTTGCTTGAATCTTTTGAAAATATATATTCCTGCATTGCTTGGCTTGCTGCTTTAGGAGTCTGATAGCTGCTGTAAGTAGTTTGCGTTTTCCTGACTGGAGGGAAAAAAAAGCAGTTTTTTAAAAAACTGCTTTTAATAAAAATTTTAAAAGGTATAACATAAAATATGCCACTTTAACTTTTTTTTTTTTCTTCCTAACAGTCCTGGGGATGGGACCTAGAGCCTCCTGTGCATACTGGGCCAGCGCTTTCCTGCTGAGCCCCCACTGCAGCCCAGCCATTTTAAATGCACATTGCATAGCCATGGCCACTGCTCATCTTGTGACTCCCACCAGCTGCTCTCTGCTTGTCTGATTGCCTGCTGTAGGTACTTGACACAGTGGGGTCAGAAGGATCAGGCCTTTCATAAACTCTTTCACTTGGCTTCTGAACTTTTCTGGATTCATCCTTTGCATCAGGAGCCAGAACTTCCTAAAGGCTGTTCACACATTTGTCTGCTGACAGACATGTGGGTGGTTTCTACCTTGCCACTGTGTTGAGTTTTTTTCTTAATCCTTCAAGCTGAATGATTTCACTAGGGGTCTGTCTCAGACTTCAGTATTCCAGGTTGATTTTGTCATTACGTTGTTGGCTGTTCTGGGAGGTGTTTGTGGTTCACAGTTTTGAATGTTAACTGTTTCATTATTTCCTGCCTGTTGGAGCCCCCTTTTCTGGACATGAATGCTTAGTGAATTTAGATTGCAGAGCACTCTCACCACACTGGTCCCTCCCCTGCACTGTTCTTGGTGGCACTTGCCCCTAAAGGGTGTCTCTGTCCATTCCTTTACTAGCTCTCTGAGGGCACAGCTTATTCTGAATCTGTAGAAGGTGATTTTGCCAGGAACTGGTGCTATGTTTGCTGGATGAGGACTGTTGGGGTGGGGGTCCTTACTGCCCAGGGGAGGTCTCTGGGACAGCCTCCTGGGAGTGTCCTCCCCAGGGTCAGCCCATATCATTGCCCAAGGGCCCTGCCACTGTGTTTGCTCTCTGGAGCCACCTCTGCCCTGTGAAGTCCCTGGGCTGTAGTGTCGTCCTGGCCTTCCTTCAGTGTTCATTATGCTTCTGGAGCACATCACTGTGCACTATAACTCCCTGTACATCAAAGGTAGTGGCAATGGCACTTCTGAGTTGTGACTTAACATCTAAGCTGACTAGAAGCCTGAGTGATGGCTGGCAGTTTTCCCAGTGGGCACCTTAGCTCCATTCTTCAGGTTCTTGCAGCTGCTCTTATTAGTGTGGCCTTCTTCTGGGCTGTGGACCTGTTCCCATTTGGCCACACTTCCTTCCTTTCTCTAGAGGTAATCCTCTTCCATGCCACCATGGCTGTGCACTGTGGGAACACTGTTGGCCTCTTTCCAGCCCTGCCCCACCCTCCAAGCTGCCCTAGGAACAGCTTGGAAGGAAACCATAAATAAACTTCATATGGACCTTCCTAGGGAATGCACAGTCTGCTTGCTCTGGAGCCTTTGGCCATAAGTTACCACTAGCAATAGTGCAGCCAGGGCCCTTCACTTGCAGTTCCTTGCACATGCCGTGGCCTTTCTGGCCTCTGTACCCAGCACACAGTCCCCTTTGCGTCGTCTCCTCCCATCTGGTTGGCTCATTTTTCCTTTAACCTTTGCTTTTCATTACCCCCCCCCACCCCGTGTTGGGGACCCAACCCAGGGGTGTTACCACTGAGCTACACCCCCAATTCTTTTTATTTTCAGACAGGGTGTTGGCTAAGTTGCCCAGGCTGTCTTCAATCTTGGAATCCTCCTGCCTTGCTAGGATTACAGGCATATGCCACTGCACCTGGCTCCCTCCTCTTTTTCAATTTTGAGGGTTTTGCTAGTTGCTTAGGCTAGCCTCACACTTGTGATCCTGCCTCAGYCCCCCGGGTGTGCACCACCACACCCACCTGCTTTAAGCCTTCAGTGGGGCAACCCCCAGAGCAGCTTTTGTTGGACTCTCCAGCTAGGAGAAGGCGCCTACGCATGTGGTTCTGTAGCCCTGGCTGTTCCTCTCTGAGGTTCATCCTGATGGTTTCTCTACAGACACGCTGACTGCTCTGAAACTTCCCTTTGAGGGTAGATGGGGCTGTCAGTAGGGATGATCAGCTCCAAGTAACACTGTGGTTCCTGTTCTGTCTTACTCCAGAGAAGCAGGAAGTGGTGGTCATGGCATCCCACACGCTGCCCAACTCATTGGTATATGGGGCCGACTGGTCCTGGCTCCTCGCCCGTTCCCTGCAGCCTATTCCCTCCTCCTCCTTTCCTCTCAGCGAAGTGGGAGCCAGACTGGCAGACTGGGCCTATGGCCTAAAGCTTGTAAATACATCACCAGCAACCTCTCTTCAAGCTATGGTAGATGACGACGGGGAGGGCCATGCCAGATCCCAGCCAAAGGCTTCTCTACTGGACAGGAAGAGTGGCAGCCAGAACTATGACTACAGCTCCTACCCAGATGGGATGAACTTGGATTCCAGCCTCCTGGCCACCTGCTCCTTTTATGACCATGTTCTTCACCTCTGGAAGTGGGAGGCCAGCTGAGCATGAGGTCACTAAGACCCTTCCCAGCTACACCAGGAGTGACTTCAGGAGTTACAGTCCTTCCTGCTGGGCCACTGCATGATGTCTGGCAGTAATTGGGGTTTTCCATCTCCAAAACTCAGTTTCTCTGGTAGTTTGAGCTCAGCCCTTCATATGTGTTTAAGCATTTGTATTGATTAAATGAAGCTGTTTTTGGGGAAAAGTTACTTTATCACATCAAAAGTAATTATATGGGCTGGGGTTGTGGCTCAGCAGCAGAGCACTTGCCTAGCATGTGCGAGGCTCTGATAATAAACAAATAAAAAATAAAGGTATTATGTTCAACTACAACTAAAAAATAGTATTTTTAAAAAAAGTAATTATATTCCAGGCATGGTGGTGCATGCTTGTAATCCCAGTAGTTTGGGAGGCTGAGGCAGGAGGATTGGGAGTTCAAAGCCAGCCTCAGCAATTTAGCAAGGCACTTAGCAACTCAGTAAGACCCTGTCTCTAAATAAAATGGCAAAAAGGGCTGAGAATATGGCACAGTGGTTAAGCACCTCAGGTTCAATCCTCAGTTATCAAAAAAAAAAAAAGTAATTTTAAAACTCAGAAACTTGTTGGTGCTGAGGCACAAACCCAGGGCCTTGCCCCTAACAGGCCAGTACTCTAGCACTGAGTTATATTCCTGGCCTGGAAGTAATTTTAAAACACGAGAAGGCTACGCACATGCTTATAATCCCAATGACTCAGGATCACAAACTGAAAGCCAGCCTGAGTAATTTCGTGAGACCTCATAAAAGGGGGAAAAAAGAAAGTTGGGGGAATGGCTTAGTGGTAGAGTACCCTTGAGCTCAATCCCTGGCACCACAGAGGGGGGGCAATCCTCCAATCACATGGTAGAATGAAAGGTGAAGAGGGGAGAAGATGTGTGTACATTCTGAGCCACGTTGGTCATAAAGTGACAATGGGGGCCGAGGTTGTGGCTCAGTGGTAGAGTGCTCGCCACATGTGAAGCCCTGGGTTCAATCCTCAGCACCACATATAAGTAAATAAAGATATCGTGTCCAACTACAACTAAAGAAATTTTTTAAAAAAATAAAGCGACAATCGGCGTCACTAATCATTTCCTCTTAGTGGCAATAAACAGATCAGCTTCCATGTCCTAAATGGTCATCGCCTACTTTTTTTTTTTGGGGGGGGGGCAGAACCAGGGATTGAACTCAAGGGCACTGAGCCACTCCCCAGCCCTATTTTTAATTTTATTTAGAGACAAGAGTCTCACTGAGTTGCATAGGACCTTGCAGTTGCTGAGGCTGGCTTTGAACTTGCTATCCTCCTGTCTCAGCCTCCCAAGCCACTGGGATTACAGGCATATGCCACCATGCCCACCTTTAATATTTAGTTGTAGGTAGACACAATCCCTTTATTTTTATGTGGTGCTGAAGATCAAACTCAGTGCCTCATCTGAGCTAGGCGAGCATTCTACCACTGAGTCACAACTGTAGCCCCAGAACCTCACTTTTGCTGAGATTAGTTTTGGACTCACTGTCCTCCAGCCTCAGCCTCCCAAGCTGCTAGGATTACAAGCATGTACCACTGTGCCCAGCTGGCCTTTTGTTTTGGTGGCACACTCCCATATGCCAGCAAAAACCAAAGTGGTCCTTGAATTTAGGATTCTCCTGCCTCAAAGCCTTCCAAGTCACTGGGATTACAGGTGAGCCACACCCAGTTGCCAATTTAGAGTTTGTGTAAAGAGATTTCATGTGCCTGGTGCAGTGACGAACGCCTGTAATCCCAACATCTTGAGAGATTGAGGCTAGAGGATTGCAAGTTCAAAGCTGACCTCAGCAAAAGCGAGGCACTAAAAAAACTGAGACCCTGTCTCTAAACAAAATACAACATAGGGCTGGGGATGTGGCTCAGTGGTTGAGTTCCCCTGAGTTCGATCCCTCCCCTCCCCGAGTTTTAGAACATGTATGGGTCAGCTAAATCTTAAATGAAACAGATCTGAAGGCCTAACTCAGCAGAGGAGAGAGACTAGTCAACAGAGCCCAGTTTGACACCAGTTTGCATGTGGCTTCATCTTTAGGTTTCCCCAAGGAGGCAGTTATTTTCACCTGACCAATTGCTTGGGATCCCAAAAGGAACATGATAGTTTTGATTTTGGGGGTGAATTCACCAGCTTTATCTGGTTCATGCAGCCTTATAAATTTTTACTGGTATGGGCTGAGTGATGTGCGCAAACCTGACTTCTAAAGTTGCATGGACTCTGTTATGCAGCACGCATTCCACCACCTGATGCCAACCACACACTGCACAGGGTAACACTTTTTTAAGTTGTAGATAGACACAATGCTTTTCTTTTTTCTTTTTTTTTGACATGGTGCTAGGACCAAACCCAGTGCCTCACACATGCTAGGCAAGTGCTCTACCACTGAGCTTCAGTCCCAGCCCAAGTAGCACGCTTTTAATAGAAACGGGATGGAGAAACTGCCCCATACTCCTCCAGGAACTCAAGATTCCAAGCTGGGTCAGAGCAGCCTCTAGTTCCAAGGCAATCTACTTTCTAACGTGGGAAATTCTTGGGATATAGTTGGAAGAGCTTGCCCTCCTGTGTGGGCTCAAAGCCGTACTTTTCCAGGTTGTCAGGACTGAAAGTGCCTTCTTTAAAGTCCTTTTGGATAGCAGGTGCAACTGTTTCCAGGAAGAGTGCTTTGGCAGTCAGTGGTGTGTCTGTGCCTGCAGGAACTCGGTAGTTCACATAGGGCTTGAGCTTGAAGCCAGTCAAGTCTGGGACAACAAATTCTGGGACCTTTTCCTTTATCTGCACAAACTTCCAGCCTGAGGCACGGATGCCTGTGCCCTTGGCGCCCCGTCCCTTGTTAAAGGTGCGCGGCCCTCGTTTACTGGTCCACTTGCTCATCCTGTCTGCTCCCCGCACCAAGCCTTGAGTCACTGCGGTCAGGAAACCCATGACGTTCCCTGCAGGAAACAGCTTTGAAAGGTCAGCACCGAGGATGGCTGAGAAGACCCCGGACCCCGTGGTGGAAAACCTGGACTCAACCCCGAGGGGTAGAGGATCCAGGTCGGATCCTCCTTGAACAGCCACCCCATAATACCCCTGTCCCCGCGGGCGTAGAGGGCCCGGACCCCATACAAGGGGACTGGAGAGGAACCGGAAACAGACCCCGCGGGCGGAAAGGACGCAGCACCCCCTGGAAACGGACGGACCGACCTGAGGTGGCGGCTCTTGAGCTCGGCCTCGCGCTCCCACTCTGCCTGCGACAGTTCGGGCAACTAGCCCCCGGCCTGAGCCAAAACAAGTGCTGGGGGACCAGAGCTGCACAACCCGACTGCGATCTCGCCGTACTTCCGATCGACGGCGGATCAAGCGCCCTGCAACAAGAGCAGCCCCGATTGGCCGCTGCCGTATCCGACGCGCAGCCGTAGTTTCCCGAGGGGGGGTGTAGCCTAAGGGACTTGGCCAATGGGTGGAGAGACCAGAGGCGGGGCTGCGGGAGCTTGGGACCCGGGGAGCCAACGGGCGCGCCCGGAAGTGGGGGTCCAGGCCCACCCCTGTGGTGGGTAGGGCGCGCGCAGGCAGGAGCGGGGCTCGGCGCCTACAACCACCGGCGCGGCTCCGAAGTGGCCCCTGTTGACCCTTCGTTTTCCTCGGGACCCCGAGGTAGTCCCTGAGGACTCTACGTTGTCCTGAACGGGCCCGAGGTGTCCTGGGCACATGTACACTACTGTTAAGGAGGGGCTGTTCCTCGGGAATCGTCGGAGGGTCGGGGAACGCGGGCCCTTCCGTCCCTCGGCGGCCGCGGCTCGGACCTGTAGCAGAGGGGCGGTCCAGTGACGGGCCGCCTGCGCCTCTCCCCTCTGACCGAGGGAGTCAGGCCCTCTTGGTCCCCAGGTTCATCACTTCGGGGCCCGGAAAACCCACCTTGTTACTCCAGCTCCGCTTCCCCGTCGCCTCCCCCCTACTCTGACGGCCCCGAGGTGTCCTGGTCATTTGCTCCTCTTGATGCATCCCCCGTGCCGGATGACCCCTTCACGGACACTGCCCTTCCGGGTCACGTCCCCTCCAGGACTACTGCCTTTTCCGGCGGTTGCATCCCCAGGCCATGACCCTCCCCACCGCTGTCCTTTCCGGCCACACCCCTTCCCAGCAGTTGCTTTACCCGTCTGGTGCCCTCCCGGCCGCGCCCCTCCCCCGCTGGATCATCCTAGTTCCTCCAGAGCCACACTTATACCAGCGATACCCTGTGCCCCACACACTCACCCCTCCTTGAACAGCCATCCCATAATACCCCTGTCCCCAGCCAGTGTTGAGCCTACCCCACACGGCCTCTCCAGACCCTGGCTGTGCTGTCCAGACTCTTCCGCTGAGTTCTGGGAGTAGAGCCAGTGGCTTGGCTGCTGTTGTGAGTTCCCCTTGGGCCACGTGAGGGCTGTTTACAGGAGAAGGAAGCCGCAGTGAGACAGCAGATGCTTCTGAAAAACAGCTTCTTTTCAGGAGAACAAAGGTGCAGAGGTGTTTCCTTCCAGTGAGAATGTGATTTGATTCTGAAAGTAGTGGAGAAGGCGCTAGTAGAGTGTTTCCTCAACCTGTCTCCTCACCCTTTGCTCTGCTTACAGTCATGCGGGAAGAGGACGATGTCTGCTCAGAGGTTGGTATACCAGGTATCTGGTGAGAGTCCTTTCCTTAGAACCCCCACTCAGGAACTTCTCCACCTAGAGAAGGGTTCTCTGCCTCCCTCCTCTGCCTGGACTTCCTGAAGCTGAGGACTCTGGCTGGGGTCAGTTGCCTTGCCAGAGCTCACACTGGTTGCTACATAGCCAGGCTTTCACAGTATGGACAGTTGCATGTGGCTGTTGGATGACATTTGAGACCATCTTTTCATCCCTTCAGGTCCTGTTTCGCTTGAGACTTTGCCTGCTTGCTTTGCTTAGGCTCTTTTTTCAGTCCAGCACTACAACCATATCCCAAAGGCTTTTTTGTTCATGAACCAGAAAAGTAAATTCATTAAACAGCAGAAAGCTAGAGACACTCCATCATTGCAGGCAATATAAGTAGGTTAGACCTTTGCTTGGATAATCTGACTGCCCCAGACTTCAGAGGGGCACACTCAGATCAGTGGAGGGAGTGGTGGGGTGCCCTTATGCTCCCCAACCAATAAGCTCCTGAGAGCTGAGTGGGGACAAAGAAGGAGAGACGCTGGGTACCTCAATCCTAAAGCAAGAGGTGCACTGTGCGCACAGTCACATGCAGCACAAGGGTGTTTCAGCCAACAGAAGGCCATGCGTACGACAGTATGCAATAGAATTGTTTTGCCTGGTGAGTTCAGTGCTCTCTTAGTTTGTATGTGCACACCCTGTGACATTCACATAATGATGAGAACACCTGCCAGTGCATTTCTAGGAGGGTGTCCTCACTCAGACTGATGACTGAACCTGCCTCCTGCACCAAGTGTACAGGGATGAGCTTTCTGCATCTCTCACTCTGGTCTTGATGCAGAATTTTGCCTTAGAGATGCTTTGCCAGGTGCCTTCCTGCCCTCCTTGGCTTTTCTGGCATGGCTGTTGTATCTGAGACCTGTTTCTCTGAAGGTTGGGGCTTTGGTCCATGGCACTTGGAAAGGATTAGTAGGTGGCCTGCCCTTCCCCATCTAGCTCCTGGCTGCTTGGGAGCAGGGTGGGTGCAGGAGAATGGAGAGTGGCTGCATGTCTGGCTGGCTTCTTGGGCCCATCTTAGGCTTTGGGAGCCAGCCAGCCTTCTCTGAATTTCTGAAGTTCTGTCAGTGCCCTTCTCAGATACAGCAGGGAGATGTCTCTGCTCTTTCCTCTTTGGCATGTGAACTGATATTAGATGTCCCCCAAATCCAGAGGGCTCTTCAGAGTTTAGTTAATTAGTTTGTTTGTTTCTTTCTTCTCTCTCTCTCTCTCTCTCTCTCTCTCTCTCTCTCTCTCTCTCTCCCTCCTTCCTTCCCTCCCTCCCTCCTTCCTTCCTTCCTTCCTTCCTTCCTTCCTTCCTTCCTTCCTTCCTTCCTTCATCTTTTTATGCTTTCCAGGGTGATCTTGAACTCCTGGGCTCAAGTGATCTTCCTTCTTTGGCCTTCTGAGCAGCTGGAACTAAACAGAATACAGGCCTCAGCAACCACCCACCTTCTCAGGGTTTCTGTGCACAGCAGTTATTTGGCTCCCATAGGGCACCAAGAGATGATCTTGGCCTGCCCTGTGGCTGGGGCTTGCTTTCCTGTGCTTACATCTCAAGGATGAGAGCCCAGGATTCAGGTGTGTTAGTGATGTACAGGGCATTTGCTGTCAGCAACCCTTCCTGTGTATCCCAGTGTCTGAGGAAGACAGTTGCTCCCTATCTGTCATTGGAGGCAGGCCCAGAGGACCTCAGCAGCTCTGGCAAGGTCACTTCTCTCTGGAATCTCCAGAGGTGCTAACTTCCTCCCTACCTTCCAACTCTACTCTTGCTCCCTGGCCAGGCCCAGGCTGGGAATCCAGGCCATTTGTCTGTTCAACCTGAGTGCTGCTTTCCTCTCCAGGCTGGCTTCTGTATAGGCACTGCCCTGCGTTCCTGGGGGCTGCAGTTCATGGAGGAGCATTCACAGTCCACCATGGTAATCACAGGCTTTCCTGGGGATGGACCTGGTTGGGCCAACTGGTGGCTGTGGTCAGCCTTGCTGATGGGTGCACTTTGTCCTGCCTACCCAGCTGATCGGGATTGCAATTGGAGCCCTCCTGGCACTAGCCTTTGTCAGTATTGCTGTCTTTTTTGTATACAGAAGGGTTAACCGATTCCGTAAGTATCTTGGTTTGTACTGTGGCTCTAGGGGGAGGGACAGGGCTCGTATGTGTGTGGGTGTGTGTCCATGTCCTATGGGCATTTGGACTCTAGGGGTGTGATTTTGTTGGAATCCAGGTTCAGGCTGTGGTTTCCAGTCTTTGCAGAGCCTTTTCTGCCTCCCTTTCCCAAGCAAGGATCTAGTGAGAAGAAATGAGATTCCTCTGTGATCTGAGACAGGCACTGATGTCTGAGGGGTGGCTGGGGGACAGGACAGGCAAGAACACAGTTTATCTTCTAGCACCTGTATTTCCAGCCCCTGGCCAGTGCTATACTTTTATTTTAGCTCAGGCAATTTCACCATAAACCCTCTCAGGGCCATGCCCAGGATGGGGGCTTTCCCACTTCATAGTGTCCCTTCCTTCCCCTTGCAGGACAAGTGCACCCCACTCCTCAGTACAGGTTCCGAAAGCGGGACAAAGTGATGTTTTATGGTCGGAAGATCATGAGGAAGGTAATTTGCTCATAGCCCTGGGTGGTACCTTGGCTCTTTCCTGAAAAGCACCCTGGGGAGTGGGGACCACTACTCCCCAGGTTCCTTAAGTTTCTGGTTCCTGCACTCTGGGAGTATGCTGCTGAGGGCTCCATGGCCCTTGCTGCTGGGCACAGGATTTTGGGGGGTGTCATAAGTCATGCTAAATATTTTCTGCTTTCCCCGACTAAACCAAATACATTTTATTGGAAATATCCCTGGCCTTGTTGACCTCAAACCACCTGGTCTGGAGGGCTGGAGTAGGGTGGGTGTTTGATTTGAAGCAGTTATCTTGCTTTGACCAGTGCAAGGACAGGAGGCTCTCTGCCCTTGGCCATCTGAAGTGCAAGTTTCTGTCAGCGCGAAGTGAGGAGAGACAGCTGCTTTCCAGGAATATTTCTAGGGGCAAGTCAGGGGGCATAGAGGGCCATACACCTACCCTCAGATGGGTGGTCTCTACAAGGACTCAGGAGGTTAAGCTGAGCAAAGATCCAATCCTCTGGGGCTGGGGAGCCAAGTTTCCTGATGGCCTATGGAAAAACACTGAAAAGTGTCTCTTGTGGTTCTGGAACCTTCTAAGTACTGAGGGGTGTCTGGGGGACAGGACAGGCAAGAACATAGTTTATCTTCTAGCACCTCTATTTCCAGCACCTGGCCAGTGCTGCACTTTTATTTTAGCTCAGGCAATTTCACCATAAACCCTCTCCGGGCCACGCCCAGGGTATTCCTCCTGTGTTGGGGTATAGGAGTTAGTAGTTAAGGAGCTCCAACCTGGAGATAAGCAGTCTAGGTTGAACCCTTGTTTGCCTGTGCTAATCCTGCCACATCTCACACCCTGTCGCAGTTCTACAGAAGCCAACAGGTGTGGAGCCACGGAGCTCTGACAGTTTGGCTGCTTGAGGACATCAAGGGCATCCTGTGGATATGTGGGGCTGTGTGTGTCCCCTGAGTCTGGCATTCCCTTCCCTCAAGGAGCCAAGAGGTGGGGGGCGGGGATTGTTGCAGATGGCCCTGGAAGCTGAGAGCAGTATGGTAGGCCACCCATGGGCAATTCCTGAGGTCTGGCCTCTGAGTGCTCAGGTCTGCCTGTTAACAGGGTGTGTAACACATCTGTTTGTCCTACAGGTGACCACACTCCCCCACACACTTGTGGGGAACACAGCAGCACCCCGGCAGCGGCCTAGGAAGAGAACTAAGGTGCTATCTTTGGCCAAGAGGTACTGGGAACTTCCTCCTAATGGGTACTGCAAGCCTGTTGGAATCCTCACTAGTGCTGTGCTCCTTCCACATCAGAGGAGCACTGAGGGCATTGGTTTTTAATTCTTCTGTTCTTGCTCAAGGTAAATGTGTCTCTGCTTCTTAGAATTCTACGTTTCAAGAAGGAATACCCCACCCTGCAGCCGAAGGAGCCCCCACCTTCGCTGTTGGAGGCTGATCTCACAGAGTTTGATGTGAAGAATTCTCATCTGCCATCAGAAGTTCTGTACATGCTGAAAAATGTTCGGTAAGAGAGTGATGAGCGCAGGAGGACTTGCCATAGCATGGGCATTCCCTCAATATGCTTCTCCCTACAGCCATCTCTGTCTTGGCTTTGTTGTGTCAGAAGATATTGGCAAGCCAGACTTCTTCCTGGGACTGCTGGTGTCTGTGCCCTGGAGTGGTCGGTTGCTGGGTCAGGCTGCTCCAGTAGCAGGGCCTCATGGTCCCCTCGCCTCCTCACCTGTTCTTAGTG